AGATTAGGAGAATCTAAAAATACCAGCTTGTAGTCCGAGATTTGCTCTATTTGATCCGTGCTTGGCCCTTTTCGAAACTTTGTAGCGAAATTTTTAAAAATTAGCCTAACTTTGAGGAGATAAAATTGACAGGTGAAGAATTTTGGCAATTATCAAAAGAAGCATGCAAGATTTTGGTTCGAAAATGTGTACATAAGAAAGAGAAGGAAAAGCTGCATCGAAGACATGTTAAAACTCACTCAGGTCTTTATTGTTCGTGGTTTTACAGTGACTTGAAAAAACCGACAAAACTTTCGGGACAACCTAATATAAAACTCAAACACTGTACCTTTGTTTGTAAGGATGTTTGTGGCTTATAGACTCCTTTGTATGTGAACCGAAGAAGCTGAATTTTGTTCCCTTATGAACAAGCCACGGCGCAGAAGATAGGCTACTTTTCGCGACAATTCGTTGGGTCCTTCTATCGATTTATTGATTTTGTTTACTAGAATCTAGGAAAATGAAGGCTGTACCATTCATTTCTTCAAGTTAAGTAGTAAGGGTGGTAGAGATCATTTACATTTTGCGGTTAGGAGCATGCGGTGTGATGAAGCGAGCCGGTCAAGAAAGAAGACTATCCACCACGGATAATACACGAGCGCTGGGACATGGAGGTGCAGCAGGAGAGTAACAGAAGATATGAACTGAAGAAAGTGGAGGACTGTTAAGTATACATCTTGAAGCACACCCTATGCTGGGCCATTCTGGACTCTCGGCCCGGGCGGGACCGGGGACCGCAGCTAGTTTGATGTATAAAAAGCATACATTAACAGTTGTGGATTTTGCTAAATCCAGACATTTATGTGTAACTATGACTCACATTTTTGCTTTTACCTAGTGCATTGATCGCCATAAAAGATGAGCAATAATGAAAATGCGCTCTTTCTAATGAGATCTTACAAAGATGACAGTTTGGCAGTGACTCATACAAACGCATAGACTACTGATTAGATGCTCATATATTGAGTTCTGCACTACCGACAACGCTTGCTCCTAAAATTTGGCAATAGGGGGTAAAACATGACAAAAGTATGGTGGAATTTTTTACTCAAATTACTTATTGGCACTATACCTAACAGTTTGCTACTCGCAAATGTCGGTGCGGTGGCACCATACAGGGTGTTCAGCCCAACCTATAGCCATTGAGAAAAGGACGTTTTAAAAAAATTCCAAAAATCTGAAAGTCAACCCTGAAAGTTTTTCAGTGTTGTTTGTTGTAACTATAGTGTTGTAATTCCTCTTTTCTACTCAAAAAAAAGAACCATTGTTAATATAGGCAGTTCCTTTTTTTACTCATCAGTTCAAACTTCGACGTGAATAATGTAAATTATACTTTCGAACATATTTTCGTTACCAAATATTACATTTAACTTAGTATCTAGGAACATCAGTGGCTTCCAATTTATTTTTTACTTGTTTATTTATTTTTTACGCGAAAAGGTGGCAAAAAAATTCACAAAAACTCACAAAACGTAACTCTTGAAACAAAACAAAAAACATCAACACGAGAAATGTACACGAGTCTCTTGAGTCTGCTCTTGTTTTTAAGTTCGTCTTCAGCCGGGATATCAGGTCGTTGTCCTTTTTTATAAGGCAAGAAATCTTGGTGAGATCCTATGTAGTCCCAAACAAAAACCATAAGGACATTTTGTCCAATTCCTCGCAACACTTTGAAGAAAATTCATTACCATGGTTGATGAATGTCGACTCTTTTCCTAACAATAAGTAGGTGTGCTTGGGTATACAAAAGGAAGTGTAGAGAGGAAACCAGGGTTGATCATCTTGTATGCTTCACTAGCTTTAATCTTTGGTAATAGGCAGTAGACCGTATAATCGTTCATTGATGCTCATATTGTTGTTAATTGAACAACATTTTGGTATTAATAGTGATTTTCCTGGAATTTGTGGGAGGCAGCTGATTAGAGCAGATCTGAAAGCAAAGGAAGAATGGATTCACATTTTTCACTTCATTACTATCCTTACCGTATTCATGTGTGTTGCTGTGTACCTTTTTACTTTGGCTTTCTTTATTCTTTCCTTACAGTAATCACAGGTGCTGCTATCACTTACGTATTAATCTGCTTACTTCCTTAACCAGGATTAATTTCACGAACATGGGAAAACTAGGCAAAAAACATCAATATTACTAATTGATGTTGTGATTATATGAGTTCCCTGCCTTACGCCTCTTTTGATATGGAACATTCCTCCATTCATCTGCGATAAATATGTATAATAGATTTTTGATCTTTATTTCATTTTTCTCATGATGTACGAAGCTCGAATCATATCCACTAAGAACAATCATTTCAAAATTCGTTATCAAGTGCATTATCGGAATAATGTACCAGCTCCAATTACATTACAAATTTTTGTAGCTGTGTGTCCTGAATTCATTCAGTTCAATTCAGTTTCTGAATTCACAATTACATATGTATAAATACAAAAGATGGTCCCTGTGCGAAGTAACTTCTGCGACAATATGCCGTTCTACAGTAACATTATGCGATTTGATATCCATAATAGATGTGTTAGTGACCGGACTTTGTGAAAGCACTGTGACCACAATCCCATATTTGAACTCGGATTGTCTAACAATGTTAGTAAAACTCTTTCCGGCTTGATCCTCCACCTTTCTTTGGGAACAAGTGGCATAGTGGCACGAGGCGCTGTTATGACCTATAATCAAGGTTCGATCCCACCCTGGCCCGGCCAAAACATTCCAACTTTGTGGACAACTGTTACCATAGTACGTAATGTGGGAAACATTCATATCGTAGTGGAGTGCCCCCTAATTCATTGCACCCTTTGATTCAGCTGGCCTGGCGGCTGCAAGGTGGGGCTTCGTGACCTAATTGAGACTAGATAATGATCAGACAGCACGAGCGCAGAGGAACGCAAACTGTGTCGCGAACGCGAGCGGTCTCAATTAGGTCACCAAGTCCCGCCTTCCAGGCGCCAAGCCAGTTAAATCAAAGGTTACGGATTCAGTAACTTTGAGCCGCAGAAGTTATCAGAAAGTCCAGGTTCCTTTCTCTTTCGTTAACAATGCTCTTTATATCTCTTTCTCCTTCTCTGCTTTAATTTAGCTCACAATGGAGGACTTTAGTTTACTTGAAGTGCTCTTAAGTAATTGCTGTAGTCCGTAGGTAGTACTGCAGAGGAGAATAAGAGGATATTGATATCTGTAAACTTACTTCAGGAAAGATTATACTGCAGTGAATTTTCGAGTTTTGTGTACTTGAGTAAAATACGTATTAGAATTCAAATAAGCACTTTTTGGAATAGAGTAGTTGCTTTAAAACAATCTCAACGCATATTTTCGTATCTCAACCTTTCCAAAAATCATATTGACGTTACTAGACGCGATTGCAATTAGCCTGTAGACAGAATAATACTTTATACATCATATCTCATTTACAATAGCATGAACATCCTTTGGTTTTTGAGCATTCATTTCACATTTTCATATGGACGCATTGAATGGTCTTATCGAGTCGCGAAGGATAAGAAGCATAGCATTTTCTTGTAAAAGGGAGGAACTTATTTGAAGATTAGCAATCATCATGATATAGTACACAAATGTTAGAACAATTGTAACATCGGATTATAACGCAATGCATCTTCTCACTTCTGTTAGCGAATTCTCTCGTCCACCTGCTTAGAGACTACAAATTATATCGTGACAATTTGATATGTATTTATCTTCGTTCTTCACAAGCGCACTTTGCGTAGATAATTTTGTAAATGCAGTTTTGGCTCGTTTTGAATTCAAATTAAGATCGAGGATTTTACATCAAACCTGTAGGGTAAGAACTATCAGTGATTTGAACTTAAATTTTAAAATACTTCTACTCACTTTCTCAAATACTACAAATTATTACATCATGACAGAGTAGAAAGTTTTGACTTCGTCCTAAATAGGTCAATCTACATAAACATGTATCACATTATTTTGATGGTTACTTGGTTCAGAACTATTCTGTAAAAGCAGCTCCAAGTAGATAGCTAAATGTTCGAAGAGCGTTCCAATGTACATTATTTATTAATTGCTATATACAAGACGTTACATTTTTAGTATCATCATGTATATTGCTATATTTTACAAGTTTTATTTGTATACAAACCAAGTAGACGTAGAAGATAGTTGTTGAGTTAGAACTTTGGTAAGCAGTTCGTTTAAAGACAACAATTCAGTTAAATGGACTTCCTGCCTTTTTCATCCTTGAGTACCATCACAAAACACGGTTTCTTCAACTTCCATTGAATGAAGCGAATTAGCTCAAACGAAACTTTCATGTAGATTTTCAAATGTTTTGGTCTATGGTATCTTGTAACTTGTGAATATAATATTATTTGTTTATTACTTTCATCAATAGCATAAGACATGTTTCTCCTTTACAGTTTTGGCAGACATATTCTTGCAATGAAGAGCCATTCCGAGGAGAATTGTAATTAGTAACTTCTTATCATTCCTTCGCAGTATACAGTCTGCTAATTAACATACTTACAATGAATGGTTCCGGGACGATAGCGGTTATTTACTACAAATCCAAGTTGATCACTAAGAGTACAAGTACATACGATATGATAAGAAAGACATTTCACGTAAGATGTGGTTCTAATCCCATTACCAGTAGCGGAAATGTTATAAAGGGCACCAAAGTACAATATAAAATTTGTTCCCATACAATCAACTATTGGTTGTGGCCGTAAGAGAGGTGCTTAGCAGAATTACCTTTTCTCATGATACATTACTCGCACGTTGAAATACCCTTAGAGAAACCTTCGTAAATTTCTTTTATTTTCTTTGAAATCTGGATTTCGCCTTCGGGTTCATTTTTGGTTGCCGTCGGTCAAAAAAATTTCGTTTTTGAGCATAAATCATCGCAAGCTTTGTTTGAGCAATTCAAATAACGTTCCTGTCCCTTTCCGAGAGTCAATTAACATATTCTTCCTCCTTGAATCTCCATATATTTACCCGTGTCTTGCCGCTACAACTGCCTTGATTTTCTCCGTTCACTTGAACCTCCTTTTCAGAAACATGAATATGCAATGCTTTATTGCTTTCTGCATCGCTTGCATCGCTTTGGTAGCTGGTCTTGGGGACAACAGTGTGAGTTTCATTTAATTCTCATTCAATTCTAGTAAAATTCAATTTTTTTCCAGGATGACACCTACAGTCAGTTCGCCCCAACCAATAACGCATTCTACAGATATCTCAGGTAATAAAAATTCCTTTGCAAATAGTGAAGAGGAAAATAGAAAGTTCAGCGACGCCTTAGTCCAAGAATAGCATGCTGTAAAGAAAGAACATTTTGAACACTTTCTAACGGAAAATGTGCGAAAATGGTGGGAATTACAATATTAAAACAAACGCTGTTCAAATAAATCCTTGAATGTTAAAAAGGCAGTTTTCCAAAAATAAAAATGACTAGGATATCTCCAGAAAAGGAAGAGAGATAGCCTTTTGCATTTCAGTTTTTTTTACACAGGATAGCAGCAGTAGCATGCTCCCTGTGCTCAAACATAACAGGAGCATTCGGCCCAAAGTCCCTTTTTGCAAGTACGGTAACACAGTATGCAATAACTATGCAAATGAGCCTCAAGTCCGAATAGCAGATTTTTTTGTATGAGGTGATTGAATTGAAATTCATAAGGCAATTCACCTTCTAAGGCCCTTTTTGCAAACAATTTCAACTAAGGCACTTTTTGCAATCAAGTTTAACTTTTTGAAAATTCATCTCGAAAAACGAACTCAACTTATAACATTTTAGGTCGTCAAACGGAAAGCCAACCTTTATTCGATTTGGAAAACGCGCAAAGCCGACATTCATTCGATTTGGACGATCCGTACCGACATATAGCAACTTTGAAAATCAAGAACAAGACGCGTGATACAGTAATGCTACAGTAATATTGCAATCATCAACTTTTAACACTACATAGTCTCACTATATTGCTACATGTCATGTCGTTTCTGTTGGTCTCACTGGGTGATCTCTCCATGCACGTCACTGCATTTGCCATATGAAGTTAATGTTAATGTTTATGGATTTATTAGTCAAAGCAAAAATAGAGATACTGTTAGTCATCTAGAATATAAAGTTCCAGGTTAAATCACGATTGAGGAACTCTTCTCTTGAGTTTATATAGGAAGTAGTCGAAAACTCTCATTTCATATGGGGAAAGATGATGAAAGCCGATCATCTCTGGACTGAAGTTCTTGGCTCCCTAAAAATTGTCACTAATAGTGAGTGCGACTCAGTTTTGGTCAATTCAAGCACAAGATGTGGTTTTCGAAAATAAAATGAAAGCAAATCGAAATACCAGGCTTTTTCATATAGAAAATAGGGAAGCCTAACTAAGCCATTGGCAAGAGACAGTTTATATGAATTAATTGGCCGAAATATCCTGCTCTAAACTTTCGCCCAGCACCGTAACCGATACGTTGATGTCGTGAAAAAGTGCGAAATGGGAAAGAGATTAGATCAGAGTTCTCCGTCACCAATGATTTAGAAAAATCTGCCTTTCAAGCAATGGCTTCGCAAAGGCTACTCAATTATTTACCAGAACAGATTGTCAAATTTGCTTAGAATGCCTTCAAGGAGATAACCAAGAGATAATTATGGTAGAGGTATACGAGCTAAAGTAAGTGAAGGTTACCTTCAAAGGTGGATAATAGGCATTTTTTCGTGCGAAGGGATCCTTGTACATCACCAACTGCTCCGTGGGATGAAAATGATGGAACCTGGCAAAAATCAAGATAAAGCAGGTTCGCTATTGCTCGATCTAATTTTGCATTATGTGTCGAAAGCTCACCTATCGGAACCATTCTCGTCCCTGGTATCCTCAGGATAGATTCCGGCAGCTGCAAGACACCTTCCCATCTAAATAAACACTAAGCACCACGAATAATTAGTTTTACACACTGCATTTAGTGTGCCTTAATGACGATAGACGAGAGCTGGTCCCCAGCTCAAGCAAAACTCTCAACCTTGGCCAAATGAATGATGACCCAAGTTTCTTGGGAATCCAAAACGCATCTACGAAAAAAGGCAGTCTTTCTTTGGGAGTCTGTAAAATGACATTGTACAAGCAGTAAAAACAATCTTCTGAATGTTCTTATTGAGTCGCAGAGGAGCGCAAAAATATGCATTTTTGATATATGGAAAATACTTCGGCAGTTTTGCCATTTGGAAAGAGGATTTAGAGTTTCTCATTGCTGGACTGACCGTCTTCGCCCTTTATGGTTTATGCTGGATAGCCGAACATGCAGTTTATCGTCATTTACTTTTTGGGTTTCAAATTTGGACCTCTTTCCAAGCTCTCAAACCTCTTGATCCTCCTCCGCTCGATGCATTTCCGGGCACAACTTTGGATTCTCCATTACACGATTGAAAATTTCAACTGCTGGTCGTGAAAGGACATAAACACCACCATCAGCGTAACCATGAGGCTTAACAATCAAATTTAAGTAAATAGCAGATTAGTATTTGATGGCAATGATACCACAAAGAAGTTCCATCTATAACCGAAGTAGTGCGGTTCTTTGCTCGAGTAATTAGCAAGGAAATGACGTAGATTCTCAACGATGACATAGGCGTCATCGTCAGCCCTCAGATACCAATCGTATTCGTCTTCCATATCCTCAATGACATGACTGAAAAACACGAAGGTTCTGAAGTTTGATTAAGAAAAGGAAGAGCTCTGTCTTACCTAAAAATCCGTCTGATCTTCTCCCATGAGTGATCTCTACTATGCAGTTCTTTCCAGTAAATATGTGGGATTTCCGAAGACATGGGTGAATCGGTAAAGAAGATAAAGTCATCGCAACGTTTAGCCCACGTTTCGAGAATGGTTTGGGCCTAAAAATTTCACAAAAGAAATTTGGTTTGGTAGAGGAGCAAAACCTGACTTACCCTAGTGTCATGACTTGGTGTAGCTGTGTGAATCAGGCAAAATATCGTGGCAGGAGTACAACCACTGATTACAGCTATAAGAACAAGAAGTGAACTCCACATAGACAGCATGGCTACGATACGCGGATTTCCCTTTCATCCAGGTGTCGCTTTGTACTATCTGCTATGAGATCTCGAAAGTTTCCTGCGATACCGGGCGAATAATGGTTAATACTACGACGCACTCTTAAGATGTTACATCTACATACCAATTAACTTCTTATTTTTGTATAACTTCAGAAGTAAGTTTTGCGGGGTAGAAGAAATGAAGAAGATAACGAATGCTTTATAATAATTTGGCATTTGTATCTGCGCGGATAATCGTAAAAAGTGGCAGTCATAAGCTCGAAGAAAAATTAAATATCTACGGAATATGGTTCTATGGAAGCCATCATATTTGTCTTGAAAAAGTATATCTTTACCCGCTGAAGCCTTGAGGACTGCTAGGCAAGCATAAGCACCAACCCAAAAGAAACAGTGAGAGAACACAGATGAGGCTTCCGATCTTGCCAAGACATCAAGATGCAAGTTGCTTGTTTTGCCTTCCCTTCATGGACTTCAAAAAATTATACTTAATTTATTTACCTGTTTATGATGCCAAGAAATGACGACTAACCCACAATCGGTTCCTTGGTGTTTTGAGACAAATGTTGTTTTGCGCTTTCAGGCACTGATGGCTAGAATACGGTCATGAAATATATATTATGGTATCTTATATATCTTATATATAACTGAATTGTCTGTACGTGCGTTCCAAATAGAAATTTTTATTTTTGAACCGATCCGGGTCAAAGTTGCGCACATACATTTCACGGCGGCGCGGGTGTCGTAGTCTACTATTCGTCATTGATCGATATCGATTTTATCTTTTTTACAAAGTTTTACCTGCAGGGTTGGAAGTTGGCGCAAGGGGAGGGGGTAAGTGAGCAAAGAAAATGTTATTGACAGAGCCGGGCGGATCCAGGTTTGCCAGCTAGTATATGTATATGTAAGTGGCGTACCCAGGATTTCGGCTCCGGGGGGGGGGGTGACGAAAATTTTTTTCGATGAAGGTGCGTGGCGTCAGCCACGCACTCCGAAAAAATTTTTGGTATGCTCCGCTAAAATGAATTTTTGAAAATTTTAAAAATTATTTCAATTATTTACAAGTGTATACAAGTCATTTGCACAATTTTATAATTCATGCAAATAACTTTCAAAAATTTCGCGACCCGTTCTCGGGGGGGGGGGGTGAGGGAGCGCGGCCCCCCTCGGTACGCCACTGGTATTTTATGTATAGAAACTTCAAAATTGTTTGTTTGGAGGGTATGTGCAGTATAGAAACGTCCGCGTGATCTGATAACATTGAAACTTTGCACACGTACGTTTTCAAGCACTGCGCATTGTAAGCTGCTTTTTGCGGCAATTCGGGCTATTGAATTTTTGGCACTTCGCAGCGAGAATAAAAACTTATTATCCGCGATCAGCCCACTTCCCCAGTTCTTTGTAAACAATAGCAATAAAGCTCGTTTTTACTCGCCGTAGAGGAGTGGGCGGTGACTCAAGGTCGAATCGAGCGAAGCTTCCTGCCGCAGAAGTTCTCGCAGCCAGGGATGGCCTAAAAGGGCGAGATAGGTTAGCAAACTATGCAGAAGAAGTAGTATTATCACAGATCTATTAGATAACTGATAGCTTGCCAACTATCCCGGAGGCGACTTAGTAGAAGGTAAACAAGAGCAGCAGTGTGATAGTTTGTGCGTATCCATCTTTAGCATCTCATTTGGTGCTTCTTACATCTGTTTAAAGGCAGTGTCTCACCAAAATTTAGTTACCGAGATTTTTGCATTTTGCTAGCCTGTCGGACCTTGTCTAGCACTGTATGGGCTTAAAATCGCACGAAGTTCCCAAACACCCCGTTTTCTGGAGGCCCCGTGGAAGCAACGTGGACGAGTTGTACCTTCCAACTTCATCCTCAGCCACAGTGGCAGCAACAGAGGGGAGGTAGATGCCAAGTGGAGGGACATGTTCAAACGCGTAAGGGGGGAGACCGAAGGAGTCGTCCGCGCGTACCAACTGGCTCTCCGCGTACCACTTTGAGCGAATTTTTCTCAGCGTGGAGGGGGTCAAATTGAGTGAGACCTGTTGCGATGGCCTATTTAGAGCTCCCTATTGTTGAATATGTGAAGATCCGCGCGACCTCAACTTTGGTGAGACACTGCCTTTAAGCCCAGCTGTACATGGAGTAAACTTTCGTTGAACGCCTTATAATTGCGGTCAAAAAGAAAAATTGAAGCATCCTTTCATGCACCGACTTTATAGAATTTGAAAGTGCATTTAGTTACTGTTCGATCAAAAAACTGCTTGCATTTCTGGTATTACATAACTAGCCATTTTTCTTACAGACTAGAACGGCAAGTTTCAAGATCAAACTAGCCTTGCTCATCGACAGTTTCCTAGGTAGATCTTGAATATTTTTAGATATTTCCTTTTTAATTCCGCGACAGTTTGGTTCGAACTGTTCCTCATTAGTCAAATTACTGCAGCGGTGCCCATTGCTGAACATCTCTGGGACGACCGCTTTATACTCCACTCTGATTCCTGTACATTCAAAACTTTGTAGCAAGTTTTTGATTTAAAAACCCAATCAAAAACCTGTCTTTTATCCACACCGTAAACACAAGTTTGAAGGCAGAATCAATGCTTTGAATGCTTGGAATGACAGCGTCATATTCTTACCGTGTCCACCTGTGCTCAAGAGAACATCCCATATTCACGAGTGGACAGTGCATTCATATCCCTGTCTTGTTTTATGAACCCATAGGAATTTCCTGCCTTTCGTCTCATCCTCTGACGAGCGGCAGCGAGCTGGCCAGTTTCTGCTGGCCTTTGGCGCTTACGCATTTAAATCAAGCTTAGTTCCTTCCAAGTGCATGAATATGGACACCTTCAAGTGTAGTAAATCTTTGAGATAAATTCCTTGAATTTGTTTTTTGAATCACCCCAGGACAGTCTTCCAGTGAAGGATCCTGGAGAACTGATGTATAGTAGTATCTTCAAAGTTCGAGTCGCTTGTGTGGAGCGTTTTCGTCTACCGGCTTGTCTGCGACGGCGTTGTAGGTTTTATCTTGCCAGAACAAGAGTGACACTTACTCTCTTTGTTCAACAAAACGCGAATATTTGACCTCTTGTACCGCCAGCATATTTCAATTTTCTCTATGCGCATGCCCCTCACATTTGGTGAAAATGTCATTGTGATGCCTTCCAGGCATTTCTTCTCCGAAAATTGATCGGGCAGTCTTAGGTTACCATTGTACATCCGATGATCATGTACTTCGCCAGTACTTGGAGGATCGCAATAGAAGAAAAGGTATACGCTGATAAGCGAAATCCCCAGTGATCGCCTTTTCAGCACTTCATCAGCAATTATTATATTTCGGTATAACTGTACCCGACCTTAAAATTGAGAGGCTTTTAGAAAAGTTTTTCGATTTCTTACTGCCCACCACCCACTTTACTCACTATAAGATCGTGATGCTAGTCTATGGCGGATGACGATCAGAGCTGAAACGAAAAGACAATTAGTTTAGGCCACTATTCCGGTACCTAAAACGGGATATTGTTCAAATTTAGTCCAAGGGGGCAGGTCTTTATGCTAATCATGGATATTGCTTTTATTCACATGTAATTCATTTGCATCGCTTCAGTGCCTGACTCTAGCTATAATAGGTCCCGGGCCAATATCGGTGAGAAAATGCGCAATGCATTGGTAAGAGCACAACGAAGTGTCTGTAGATTTCGCTTCTGGGAAAGCACACTATATTACGTGTTTTCCGAAATGAGAACAAAATCGCGGAGATTGAGCAAAGTCAGGAATGAGAAACTGCGCACCCTTGATTCAACGGGTTGGCGGCTGGAAGGCAGGCTTCGTGGCCTAGTTGAGGGGGTGAGATGAGAGACATTCGCGAAAAAGACGCAGATTGCGTCGCCAGTGCAATCCCTTCCACCCAACACTCCCGACGATTCAAAGGGTGTAGACATATTGCCTGAGAAAAAGATGAGTTCAACAAAAGCGGCACCATTGCTTTACAAAAATTCATCACCATTTAAGGCATGTATATGAGTGACTGATTGAGCTAATTCTCATGAAATAGGATTGAATGTTAAAAACATTGCAAAATCTCTCAGGGTTCCTTCATACTTCGCCGCAGGACGCAGCAGTACGCGGCAGCACGTCGCGTCCTGCGGCGTGTGCCGCTGCAGTCGCAGTGAGATTATACGCTCAAGGCAGCACAGCTTTGCCGGTTATGAATGTACATCTATATATCTATATTTGCTGCACGTTCGCGTTCTCCGAGAGTGTTCCTTCATAGCGAGCGAGCTTATATTTTTACTGCGACTGCAGCGGCGCAGCCGCAGGACGCGATGTGCTGCGGCATGCAGCGTAGTATGAAGGAACTCTCAGATGAGTACGTGTGTGCGCTCCCAAGCTTTTGCCTTTTTGGCATCAACAATCAACTCTGCTTATATTCAGCTCATTATTTCTCAAAGCAGCGCTCAATCTTAGATTTATTCTCCTCCGCCTTTACGGCTCAGCATAAATACATAAGCTAGAAATCTTGAAATAATGCTTATGTGACTCTCCCTCTTCCATAGGCAAATCATCTTTTTCTCTAAGGTTTGCCTTTAGCGGTTTGTATCGGGTCTCGATGAGTGCCTTTTTAGAATCAAGCTGTTTTGGAAGAAACAAGCTGCTTCACAAGAAGAATAGCATACAGCTGTTCAGATAAGAACGTTTGTGTCCCGCTTGAGCGAGTGTGCGACGTATGATAAGTAGAATTTGAGAATAAGTGAACTTGTTGCTTTTTTTTCAGGATGGCAAGCGCTCTACGAACGTGAGAGTGATATGCATTTCTACGCGGCTAGGACAGCGCTTCAGTGCACAACAACAATTCCAGAGTTTTTAGAAGCACGAAATTTGAGCACGGAATGCCAAACCTCTAGGCAATGAAATCGAACCAGAAATATGGTGGACGCGTTGGAGTTTTCAGAATTAGTTGCAACCTTGAGTTGCGCAAAGCAGCAGTAGTCTAGTA